TTAAAATTTTATTAAAAAATTTTAAAATTTAAAAAAGTTTGCAGACAAATTTGGCTGCAAAACAATTTAAGGAATAATAAAAGAAAATATAAATATTGACCAAAAATAATTCCTCAAATCATAATTCTTCAAGTTAAAAAATATGCTTCTAAAGAGTATTTTTAATCAATTTATAAAGTAGAAAATGAGATTATAGAAAAAAAGTCTCTATTTAAAGATATAAAATTTTTGAAAAAAACCTAACCCTAATAGAGAACACCAAAACTTTACTTCTATGTTAGTATAGAAAGGTATAGTACTATTAATTAAAAATCTTGTCTATGCTTTTAATAAGTATCAAAATAATAAAATAGATTATGTTGATGCTTTATACATGTCTCAGTTATTTGCATCAATATGTTATTACAAATATTTTAAAGAAGAGCTTCACAAAAAAGATCAAATAAAAATTAGCATTAGTTGTACATGCCACATATATACAATCAAAACAAATGAAGGAGCAAAAATTGCAGAGTGGAAAAAAAGTTCACATGTTTCTGAGGCATATAATAAATTATGGGAAGTTGATGATAATAACCTTACAACTATTAACAAATTATTATAAAAGCTATGCCTAGAGAAGCCAAGGAGGCCTGTTTAAAACCACCAATAATTGCCTTTGCACTCACCGTCTGCTGCACTGTTTTAAATCCACGTGGCAAAGATATTCGATGTACCGAAGAAGTCATTAAAAAAAGTTGTGCTATTCTTCTAGTAAGTATTCATTAGTATATATTTAATAAGCTTTTTTTTTTTTATTTACTTTTTTTATACAACACATTATAGGCACAACTAAATGCAAAACAGATTCCGAGTAAAAATGGTATCATGGATATTCAAGATGACTCGAGAGATGAAAGTAATGTAAACGATTATGATGATAATAACAGTGAAGTGCATTCTGAGGATGATATCGATGAAGATGCGAGATTATTTGAGTAAATTTGTACAATATATAGCACTTTATTGTCGACCTTTGCTGAATTATGCGCATTATTTCTCATAATGTAATACTATGTTAATTGAGAGTTCGTTTTAATTTATTAAAATAATAAATAAGTGATAAATTGGTTATCTATTATTTACTGTTTTTGATGAACGATTATTTTCACAACTGATTATTCTGCGCATTTTTTCGATGATTGTTTTCGCAGTTGCTTAGTTCCGCAGTTTCGTGTACTCGCAGATCGTCGAACGTGGTGAAGAATTGTACAGTTTTTAGTTGCCGAAGTACACCGCGTATACCTATCTTATTTAGGGTGTTCTCAGGCGTCAATCTAGATGTGATTAGCAAGTGATCGCAATGGCACTCAAGCAAAATTATATTTACATAAAATTTTTTATTGAGAATTCGAATATGTAATTTATGACGTAATTGAAATCTTCTCAAGCATCATCTTCGATGTGATTAATT